TTTAAGGGTTGAGTTCGAGAATTTTCGTTAAGTGATTTATTTATAATGAGCTCATTTATATAGGAGTTCTTTGAATGGTAAATCATCCTCAATAATGGCTATAATGAGCAAAACCGCCTAAATGAGACAGTGTAAACGTGATACTTTAATTTTAAGCAAGTTGAAAAGCACGAATTTTGTTTCGACTATTATCGATTAGTGACGCTACATATATATATATATACAAAATTGAAAAGTTGTTTTGCATAAACTATATGATAATACAGGACGAAGGGGTCGGACACATTACTGTAAATATCTTCTCATATAAAAAGTCAGTGTCAAATTGTTCCGTTGTAATGCACTGTTATGAAAGATATTTGACCACCACCACTATTTTATCAGCATGTTTTGTACTAAGAGGTCCGACACAAGAATCTGACAGAACTTGAGATTGCAAAAGAGCAATTAAAAGCAGGCTCTATAAGAAACCCGCTTATAAAGTTGTGGATAACTCAAATTAAAGCTTTAACATACTTACATACAATTGATTTTTGTAGATTAATGATTTCTTGCACACTCGATTCGTTAAATCGGATGAATATATATAGCAATATAGCTATATAATAATTATATCTTTTACTAGATTTACTAGTAATTTTTTTTTTAATTTAGTGTTGATTTATTTAATCTTTCTAGGTGAAATAAAAATGAAATTAAGTTAAAAGAACTTATATAATCTAGAGATATATTATTAGAAAGATATTGACTTGTTTTTCTTCACTAGCGGTCCAATTAGTAATTATTTTGGATGCTTTATGCGATAAGCTGTGAAGAGAATTTTAACTGAAGAATTTCTCTAATCACCACAGAGATGACCGGAATGTGAAAGTAGTCATAGGTATTTTTATTATTCACATATCATATATCAATGTTGGAACACCATAATTCTATACCGTTTGTCTAAATTGATTTGTGTCAATTTTCTGTCTAGATAAATGTCTAAGAGTTTTATTGCACTTAATTATGGAGTAAAACTTTTGATAGTTTTTGTCTGGAGTGCAAGTTTCCCTTCGCAAGAGAATGTTTTTTGGAGAATTTTACTTTCTTTTACTTCAGTATATAAGTTAATTTTGAGTGAGTCTGAACTGATATAAGAGATCTTTACATGTCAAATTTGAAACACTGTGAGAGCTAATAGCAGGGTCACCAGTGGCGTCGCTAGGCGTCAGCGATGTCGGCGACCGCTGACGGCCTCGCGCCCGCAGTGTCCTCGCAAAAAGTTACCGACTGTGGATTCTAAGTACTTAATAAATATTTTGAGCAATGTGGTTTGATGGTGGCATTAACCATATTTGAAGTATTCCCGAATGTTTATATAGTAACCAGATTCACGTTCACAGTTCCAGTCAGTATAGCTCCGACGGAAAGAAGCTACTCAAAGTTAAAAGACGTGATTAAGACGTACTAGAAAAGTATGAAGATCCAAGAGAGACTATCTCCATTGGAAATTCTATAAACTAAAGCAAAAATAGCAGCTGGCGCAAATTATGATATAATTTTAAAAAAAATTGAGTGAGGCTAAAAGTAGGAAAATTCATTTATTTTAATTTGATTAGCAATTAAATTTTCAACAATGTAACTTGAAAGTAACTTGAAAGCAATGTAACTACACGTCGGCCTCGCAATTCTGTGTCGCCGACGTGCAGAGTTGGCCTAGCTCCGCCACTATGGAAAATTGTGATAAGTTTATTTGTATCTTGAGGAAGGTCTAATGTATAAATCATATATATCTATATATGACCCTAGATATATATATACGGCCCCTATATATACATAAATACAAGTTACTTGTGACACTTTAGTTTTCGCTTGTCGAATAAAATGTTAACGTAACAAAATTTCTAAAACTTTATAATAGAGAAATTTTGTTGTACATAGACCTTTTGGGACTATAAGAATGATTATAATCGGATAACTTATTCTTACAGCTAGAAGTGACATAATTTGATAGTTTTTATAAATTTCATATTATAGTTCAATAGACAAATCTACGCACTCAGCATGAGATGAACTAAAAAGGGAATGGGACCCGCCATGAAGCAATTTTTGATAGTAATTGAAAAATGGGCCACTATGCACCTCATCCTTTTCAAAGGTTAAGGACCAAACACGAAGATATGGACATGCATGAATTTGTACAACATTATGCAATATTGATTATTGCATATAATATGCATATGTATAAGATATAGGAAAAGTCATCATATGGTTTAAAAATGGCAATATATTATAATATTCAAAATTATAATTTATGGAAATTTAAATGCATTTGCATAGATGAATTCATAGATTATATTACAATGTTATACAATGTTTGGTTACTAATTTCAATTTAGTAACTAATATTTAGACTATAGACTTACACTATAATTTTAATAAACATATAATTAAATTTATATATTTATATATAACACATAATTCCAACACCCACTAATGATGGGTATTTGGTAATACTCGAAACAGCTGTATGGTCAGCCAAAAATTATATTTTTTTTTAATAATATAATAAAATTTTATTGTTTTAATTTAATGCTGTTCGAAATACCACTCTACTGAAAACTATAGTTTATATTATATAGATATGAATTTCATTCGTCAAAACGAATGTTGAAAGTCAATATAATTAAAACTTAATGTAAACAAATGTTTTTATTAGCAATATTTCTTTTCAAAAATTATTTATTTTATTTTAAACCAAAATTAATAAGAACATAAATAATGGTTTAATATTTCTTACCTTCTTTTTGTTAAGAGTTCAAACACATATTAAGAATATTCTTAATTAATTATATGGCAGTCATATTAGGTTTACATAAAAATAATTATTTTAGAAAAAAACTTTCACTTTTATTTAGATTTTAACATAAAATAAAAATAAAATGAAGTGCATTGAAGTATTAAATTTTATTAAAAATTATTTAAAAACTGCATTCGTCTGCCATCTAGCGCGAACAAAAATATTTGATTTTAAACCATTTGCAGCGACAGCTACCGGCAATTAAGACGCACAAATCTTATAAGAATCATTAACACTTAAAATTTGCTTAACATTTTTATTTAAACACAATTTATTTTATTATGAACATATTTTTTTTTTAATAATTGCTTATATTCTTACATATTGAACAATCTGTTTTACACTTTACATTATTTCATCTCGATACATAAAAGTTAAAAGTTGAATGCCTGACATATACAAATTATCGGATTCGTTACACGCTTGACGCCAATAATGGGAGAAAAAATGTCAAAACTTTTATGTGCATAAAATAAACTATGTAGTTAGATATAAAATTATTGTGCATTAATGTATAATTTTTAAGGAACAACACATAACTATTTACGTCGTTAAATAAATTTATTAAGGATCAAATAATTTTTAAAATTATGAGACTATAACTGCGAATGGCTTTACAAAAAGACACTAATAAATATCATTGCCAGACATAAATAATCGTAGAATTACAAATAATAAATTATACCATATTTTTGGTCATAATGGCATAAAATACGTGAAATGGAAAATTACGTTAATGGATATGGATATAGCACAATTACTATTTAGCGTTCAATCCGATTTCATTTTATATATTGATTCAAAGAAAAATTGTTTATGAAACTCAATTTGAAAAAAATTTTAGGTTAGAGCCAAGTGAACAAATTCGGTTTTGTATGCATGTAATTATAAACCAAATCATACTCAAACATATGATGCATAAAAAATACTTAACATATAAAAATCATTTAAAAATATATATATATATATTATATATTAAAATCGTATAATATATATATTCCCTAATATTAATTTATATAAGGTTTTCATTGTAAGCAAAATTGTTCTTAATGTCTGCAAAAATAAAATACTCAAAATATTTATATATTTATTATAAAATATATTTTCAACTACAAAAATATAACACTACGATTTCTTATTAAAAAACAAATTCTGTGAATAGTTTTATATATTTGGAATATCATTTCAAAAAACATTAGAAATATTAAATTGTATTTAGTGATTCGATGAACTGCTAACATTTTTTGTAAATTTGTTTTTACCATTATCAATGAAATAGCTCTGATAATTTTTTTCAGTGTACGGTAGAACATCAGCTGATTGTTATTATTATGACCAAAGAATACACTTTTTTTGATAATTATGTTCTTAAATAATTTTTTATTTGCATTAATATTTCGACTATATTCTATATTCATCATCTTGTAATTGCGATAATTATGTACAATACAATTACTTTCGAATTACGAAATTTATGCAAGCGTTAAAAGTTGTTTTGAATGGCTTCAAATCTTATTAAGATTAAAATATCTTTAATAACTTTATAGGGAATTCACACACCTCAAGTAATTGTTCATTCGACTTTGTTTATTACATGTGCATTTTTAATCTACACCGTTTACATTATAGATTGAAGATTAATTTTGATGTTTCTCTAGTATTGTTTTGTTTCGTGTGTTTGATAAATTTCTCTAATTAAAGCATTAAATTACAATTTTGTGTAAAAAATTGTAATATATATTTAATTAATAGTTTTATAACAACAATTTAACAAATCTGAGATTCAACAACGAGATTAATTCTTTAATCTCGATTTTTGTTTTAATCTACTTTTAGTCACACAATGTTAACGCCGTATTAGAAACATTTTGAGTTATCTGTCAAATAAGTATACGAAAAGTATACATACAAGTTATAGCGTAAACTCAAAAAAAAACCTTATAAACATATAAGTATTTTGCAACAAACTCTTTATGTGATATATATTAAATTTATTCTGTTTTTTAACTGATTAAAGGTGAGTAACAAAATACCGTTTTAATTTGTACGGCATTCATAAAAAAATCGTTAAAATAAAATATAAAAAATTAAAACTGGCAACGCCAAAGAAGCGTCAAAAAGGAACAAAAGTGTAAAGCGTAGATGCGAAAGTAGATGTAGAAATAAATTAAGTTGCCGTATATTTATTTGTTTGTTCTGGGAATTATTAAATACTGCTTCTATTAAAAGTTATTAATACATGTATCAAGAAGATTAGAAAACAATAACACTAAGTTTAATATTCGTGATAATTTGTGGTACTTATTGGAAACTTATAAGTTATTTTATTTACCAAAATATTGTGTGTAAATTTGGCAAGAGTCGAAGCATATCACTTCCGTTAATTCCTTCTTCGTACGTTTTAAAGCAAAGTGGAACAAACAAATAACGTACCTTAGTGCATTGATGGTGCTTCGCGTTCCTTACCAAGAGTTTGTGTTTTACGCGGAAAGTTTGTTAAAGAATAATCAAATACATAACCTCAATTTCTGTAATCAAAGTAAAAAAGAGAACTGAAGTAAACGTCAAAACGCGCGTACTACTAATTGCTTTACTCAGTTGGAAATAGTTACAAAAATTTCACCAAAAAGGAAGCAGAGTTTTTTAAATATAAGAATGGATGTAGATGCGATTTTACAAGTACCTAATATAGAAGCTAAGATAACGAATGTGAATCGTAGGCTTCCTATTGGTGAACCACTAACATCTATAGAGTCTTTTTCTACAAGTAATCAACCAGAAGAAGATCCACCAGTTGAGTTAACACAGCCGCCATTTTTAGAAGAAGAACATACGGACGGTGATAAAAAAATGTATGATGAATGTGAACAATCGACACCATTAAAACTTGCTATGTCAGACACTGAAGATGATTCTGATAAAAGCTTTGAAAAACGTGGTAAACATCGTCGCCGACTCTCAATGTCTTCAACAGGCGATGGCGAAACAGAAGCAGCTTGGGCTATTATATTTGCTTATAAGCGAGGAGTAAAAGCTCAAGAAAACGGTGAAGGCTGCTTAATGGGTTGGGATGAGGGTGGTGATTTTTCGCCAATAGAAACTATAGAAGCTGAAGAAGAACCTGTGGTAGCTGCAATTGAACCTATAGAACCTACTGCTGAAAAACGAAGAGCAGATATTACAGAGACACATATACCTATTAAAAAATCAAAACAAAAGGTAAATTATAATTAAAATATAACTTGAAAGTTGGTTTATATATTTGTTTTTAGAGTTCAGATGAAAAGGCTACTCAGCTGTATAATGAAACCGAAATGCTAACATCACCTGCTATTATAAATGAAGTAGAGACCGTTAAAGAAGAAACTGCTAAGCAAAATGTATCTCCAAAAGAAACAGAAACTAATAAGACACATATTGTTGCAGACACAGAGGAAAATACTGCATCGAAAACATCTCATAAAAAAATACGATCAAGTGTTAGCAGTGCACCAACTGGCGGTACACCAAGGCCCAAGGCTAAGCAAACCGATTTGATGGAAGGCTTTCAAAAACCGTTTCAGTACGGTTGGAAACGCGAGTTGGTTTGGCGTTCGACCGGAGATGCAAAAGCAGCGGATGTATATTTTTATACACCCAATGGCAAAAAGCTGCGTTCTCGAAGTGAAGTAGCACCATATCTAACTGATGATTTGACTTTAGACCACTTCTGCTTCTCAAAAATCACGTTGAATGTCGGACCAGAATTTGAAACAATTCGTAAAGCCAAGCCAGCAAATCGCAGCGGTGTTTCTACTTCAAGATTGTCTTTGCCACCGCGTTCCATTGGCAAGCGTGTATCGAAACCTAAAGCACCAAAAGGCGCCAGCCCTCCGCCAGAAGGTTGGACACCAACGCAGGCTCTTAAAACAAACAACGCTGCACTCCTTAGTACCGGCGTTAGCAGTAGCAGACAAAGTTCCAGTAATAATCATGTTCTAACGCCAACAAGTAGTCGCACAAATACTTCTAGCAGCAGTTCAAGCAAGAGTTCCAAATCTAAAAGGTAAATTAATGAAGTCTTTTTCTTTTATATTGCATACATATTGGATGAAATAATTTTTATAAATAGAAGTAGAATTTATCGTTGCTGTTGTTGTTGATTTTATTTCATACTCTAAGCTTGGTTGATTTTTGGTTATTACATTTTAAAATATTTAAGAAACAATTCTAGTGTTAATCAAGGTTCAAGAGAAAGATCAAAAAGCCACAAACCGTGTACGATTCAATGTCCCAAAGCAACAGGCCAAGTACCGCAACTGCAATGTGTTAAATGCTGTTGCTTATATCATCACGAATGTGTGGGCTTGAATCGCCTCAATAGTGAGTATCGCTTAACAGGAACTAATTCCAATTCAAATTCAAACGATGGACGCGATTACGTTTGTGAGGTGATTTTCGTTAATTTGAAAAACAAAACAGTGCACATAATTTTAAAACTTTTTTGATAGGCGTGTCTACCAAAAGTGGAGAAAATTCCAAAAGTAATCGAAACTCAAATAAGTATCACGCCAACAACAACAGCAACACCACAAGTATTAAAACGCGTTATTCAGCAACCTCAATCGATAGCAGTGGTTAAAGGAAAAAAATATGTGATGTTAGCGCAATCAACTAGGGTCGAAGAGTGAGTGTGCTATGTAGAGTCCAGTCTCATATATATTTGCATAATATTAACTTTTTTTTTACATTAATTATTGGTAGTTTAAATTTACAGTGTTAATATGAACAGCTTTCAATTAAATGAAAGCATTTCTTATTTTAATCGATTGTCGAACACTTTAGTTAAACTTTTAACACAAAATTATCTTTAGCATTAAATGTAGTAAAATTAATATTCAACGTAGTTATTTCAAATAAACAAATTTACAAATCCGCAACCCCAAAGCACCCTATATCAAATTGCATAAATTAAATTTAAAATAAAAAACGATTTTTATAAGGTATAATTTGTAAAATTTTCACAGTGAAATTGTATGCTTTATATATAGACATAAAAATATTGCATTAATTTTTTTTATTAATTATTTGCTATACTTTATTTAAGGTATAACTATTCAACTTATTTAAAGAACGGGTAATTACAAGTGCTTCAAAGTGTTCGAGCTCCGATTGAACTCGAATTCGAACATTTGAATGAAACTTCGAATGTTCAACCCACTTGAAGAAATTTGAGCTACTTGAAGATATTGAGCCACTCGAAGATATACGACCTAATCGAAAGTATTCAAACTACTCGAAAATATTCAAGCTACTAAAAGATATTCGAGGTACTTAAAAATAATCTAGCTTCGCGAAAATATTCGAGCTACTCAAAGATATTTGAGCGACACGAAGATATTCGAGCTACTCGAAAATATTCAACCTATTCGAAAATATTCAAGTTACTAAAAGATATTCGACCCACTCAAAAATATTCCAGCTACTCAAAGATAGTTGAGCACTCGAAGATATTCGACCTACTCGAAGATATTCGAGCTACTCAAAAATATTCATGCTACTAAAACATATTCGAGCTATTAAAAGATATTTGAGCTACTCGAAAATATTCAAGCTACTAAAAGATATTCGAGCTACTCTAAATTATTTGAGCTACTCAAAGATATTTCAGCTACAAGAAGATATTCGACCTACTCGAAGATATTCCAGGTTCTCCAACATATTTTAGCTACTGTAAGATATTCGAGCTACTCAAAGATATTTGGAATGCTCGAAGATATTCGACCTATTCGAAAAAATTCAAGTTACTAAAAGATATTCGAGCTACTCAAAGATATTCAAGCTACTCGAAGATATTCGACCTACTCAAAAATATTCAAGCTACTAAAACATTCGAGCTACTAAAAGATATTTGAGCTACTCGAAAATATTCGAGCTACTCAAAGATATTCGAGCTACTCGAAAATATTCAAGCTACTAAAAGATATTCGAGCTACTCAAAGATATTTGAGCTACTCGAAAATATTCAAGTACTAAAAGATATTCTAGCTACTCAAAGATATTTGAGCTACTCGAAAATATTCGACCTGCTCGAAGATATCTGAACTACAAAAAGATATTCGAGCTATTCGAAAATATTCAAGCTACTTAAAGATATTTTAAAGATATATACTCAAAGATTTCGAAATGCTTAAAGATATTCGAGTTATTTGCAGATGTTCGAGTTATTCGAAGATCAAAAATATCTTGTACATTTTCTACAAATAAGCATAACAGCAAAAGCTTGTGCAGTATATACTGTTCGAAAATATTCGAACGACGCGCTCTATTCAATCCAAATTTTCAAGTAGCAGCAAACTCCTATATTTAAATACTTGAAGCTTCAAACATTTCGAAAAGTATTTAAAGCACTGGTAAATACTAATGAAACACAACAATAAACATTTTTATTTTGAATCATTTCATTTGTATTTAATTATTGAAGAATTAATAAAGAAAAATGTTTAAATTTAAAACAACAAAAAAAAAAAAATAATATAATATTAATATAATAATTAAATATATAAATAATATATTAATATTACTATTTTTATATATAAATTATATTTTTATATTAAAATTATATTTTTATATAAAATTATATTTTTATATATAAAATATATTTTTATATATAAATTATATATTTATATTAAAATTATATTTTTATATATAAATTATATTTTTATATATAAATTATATTTTTATATATAAATTATATTATCATATATAAATTATATATCAATGTATAGTATATTAATATATATTAACTGATATCCAAACCCTAAATTTAAATAATACAAATTAAGTATAGGTTAATTTTGTATGTTAACACGCACGTTCTTTGTTCAAATTTAACAGGGTTCAATACCTCACACAACAAAAGATTTCATACGAGAAATTAACCCCATAGATTTTTGGTACTTTTATAATTTTCGATACTTTTAATATTTGTCGTTTTTAATTTTGTCACTTCGGACATATAATTATAAACTTATATATGTTTTCAAAGTCTACTGATAATAGATATTTGGCATTATTATCAAATTACTATCACATGATATTTTTTATTACTAATACCTTATTTTCTATTTGAAATAGAAATCTTGTCTGTAGACATAAAAATTTCAATTATTTTCAATTAATTGAATTTTTTGGGTAATCATACGAAATTCATAAAATATTGATCCGAAGACCATTATAGAACACTTTAGAAAAAAAAATTAAATTAAATTAATTAATAAACATTATTGTTGCTATGTTTCATTACTTTTTACCTCGTTCTCTTAAATAGTTTCTTGCTCATGTTGAACTTTAAATAAAATTAACTCATTTAATTATATTTGCTCTTTTATTGAACAATATAAACAATATAAATATAACTCTGCTTAGTACACACACTTCTGTTGCTTGTTATCTTCTTAGTTTTATTTTTTCATAATAATTATTTTAAACGTATATTATATATACATATATATACTTAACATGTTAAGTTTTTTATCAACGTTTCTTCCAATTTTTTTTTTATTTTTTTATATATTTTTTTATATATTTTTTTATATATTTTTTTATATATTTTTTTATATTTTTATATATTTTCTTTATTTTTATATAATTTTATATATTTTTTTTATTTTTAATTTTTTTTTATATATTTTTTTTATTTTTAATTTTTTGTTTATATATTTTTTTTTTATATTTATATATTTTTTTTATTTGCATATATTTTTTTGTTTTTCTATAAATTTTTTATGTCTATATATATTTTTAATTTTTATATAGTTTTTCTATTTTCAAATATTTTTTTATACATTGCTTTTTTTTTTAGATTTTTTACATATTAATTTTTTTAGATTTTATATATATATATTTTTTAGATTTTATATATATGTAATTTTTATTTTTAATTTTCTTTTAGTTCTTTTATATTTTTTTAATATATATTTTTTCAAATATTTTTAAAATAATTTTTAATGCTTAATAACTATCGAAATGTGTATTTTGTTTCCTAGAAAACAGAACGATATTGAAAATGATTTGAAGCAAATAAATGATGGCATACGCGATAATCACAAAACAGGAAGTAGGTCATCAGATACATCACAAAGTCTATCATCTTTACCATCGTCTCAGATTGCGACACAAGCGGTTGACACTTCCAATACAAAGTTTGCAACGAATTTCTTTGCAAATACGTCTTTTGCATTCGATGCACTTATCAATATACTCAAATATTTGAAGATACACGTATGTCAATATAATAATTGTTATTTATAAGTTTATTTAATTTTTGCAATATTTAGGAACGTTCACGTGCAGCTTCCGTTTGTAAATTATGGAATATTGCAGCTAAAGATACAACTTTGTGGAAAACTGTGCGTATGAAAAATGCAAAGGTTTCTGATTGGGAGTGTTTTGCGGCGTCTCTACGCCGTGGTGAAACTAGACATTTGGATTTACGTAAAATGTTAATTGTAACTTCTAAGGCTGAAGAAATGTGGAATGACTTCCTGGAACATATTGGTACAGTTTGTTCATTGGAAACCATTGACTTATGTCGGTGCTCGGCCCGTGTGGTTGAAAGTCTTTTTCTCACCAACAAAAAATTGCGCGTTTTAAATGCATTAGCAATAAATGATGATGTTATAAATTTGGAAAACATTGTCTATATGCAGGAGCTGAAGGAGTTGCGCTTACGTACAATTGAAGCTGGTGTCATCGGAGGAGAACTTAATCCATTACAATGTTTAGACAACCTGACCCATCTCTCAATAACCGCTATACGTGGTCTCGGCGCAAAGGGTGTTGATGTGTTTGGTGAACTTGTACAGTTGCGTTCATTAGAATTGGGTGAATGTGGTGACTTTGATTCAACTTTTGCGAAAGATGTGTTGCCAAAATTAAACAACTTAAATCGTTTACGTCTGGAAAATGGCACAAGTACTAATTGTGATACACTAGAGATTCTAGAATCAGTTGCAAATCTGAAGCAGTTAACACAACTTGAATTAGTAAACTTTGATATTCAACCCACTTTTGATGATAAACTGCGTCAGTGTACCAATATTAAAAAGTTGCTAATCATTCCAACATATATTTCGCAGTCTGCTACAACAAATCGTATAATGCTTAGTGCAGTTCAGAAAGTGCCAGATACTTTAAAGGTGTTTACTTGGGGAGTTACAATAGAATTGCTTAGAGTAACAGCATTATATATGGATCAATGTAAGGAAACAAGCAAAAAGAAAAAAGTTCACGTTAATGAACGTATACCAGTTTTAAAACCAGTCCCTGGTGCTTTGCCGGCACTTACAAAAGATGAAGAAGAGGAAACAGAGCATGTAAATGATGATGCAGATAATAGTGAACTACCGCAGCTGGAATTGTTACCTCTTGATAAAATAGAAGCCATTATGGCTGCAAATATGCCCAATACAAAGTTCACGATAGTAAAAATGCCTTACAATGCAACATGCAGACAACAATTGGTAGAGTAAGGATAACATATTGATATAAATTATTTTCATTAGCCAGCCAATAATATAATAAACCAACAATGAAATGTTTAGTCAATGCCAAACACTGTTTGCAATGATTTTTGCGTTTTTAAGAGATAACCGCTTCTCTTTCTAAAACTGTATAGTTTTTGTTTATTATATAAATAATTTATTTTATGTAAAATCGAAGTAAATTAAAAAAGAAAATTTATAATTATCACTAGATAAGAAAAGATATAAACTCAGCCATTCATAATGGTAGATTAGTTGGTAACATTAAAATTATAATCTATATATATTTATATATAGCGTGCACATCTACTGTGAAAAATGTAAGCAATTCTGTGCTTATATATATAAAATAAAATCAAGATAAATTCACTTATTTTATGTAATTTAATAATATAAAGTTATTATTTATATACATAAACTAGATATAACGCAATGTGCATGTAATGAAACATAATAGACTTCATTTTTTTTTTGTTTTAATAATTTCAGACTTTTAATAAGATTTTAATTTATAAACAGAAATTAAGTAAGATGTTCAAAAATTTTAATTTTATAATAACTTTTAATATTCATATTTTGCAAAAAGCAGTTTATTTATCAATATCAAACATCGAGTATTTCCTTTGAGAAGATTTAAGTAAAATTGTATATGATTAGTGCTCACATAGTTATTGTTTTCTAAAAGCATTGTAATTGTCAAATCTTCACTTCTAATATAATTAAATTTACTTTACAAAATGTTTCAAAAATATTTAAAAAATGAATTTTAAAATTGTGGTTTATGCTTTTTTATATAAAAATTAAGAAGTGATATAATTTTTTTCTTTCATAAAGTAAAATAACATAATTTGGCAATAAATAAAATTAAAAAGAAAAATTATAATGCAAATAAATGAAATTTTAATAATAGTTATTAAGTTTATTATAATGATTTTGTGTCTTTTGATGGTATTGTAATGTAGTTTGTATATTTTATTCATATGTACTTTCCGACTTGAGAAAACTAGGAAATAATTTGCGTGTTGGTACAGCGCATGCGTGCAATTATTAAAATCGTGCTTAAAAAGCGCATACTCAAGCCGTAAGCAATTGCTGAAGTGAAGTCAAGTGAAATCAATAAAGTGCAATGCATCGATCATTTTAAATCTAAACATAAAATCTAAAATTTTCAATGTTTTGATATGTTGTAAACACAGAGCAATAGACTTTGAAGAAAAAAATATTCGCTGAAAATAAATATAATTATATATAGTGAAAGCTCTCTATGTATGACAAATGAAAATATCTTATAAGGGCGTCGATCCGTTTAACAGAACTTTCACTGTAATAACGTGCAAAATCGAAACATTGGCAGTTTGTTTCGTCATGATTGAATCCGCCAAATCTCACTTCAAACTGAACACTAAAATTGATCATGTACAGGAATGGATGATATTCTCCATACATATATACAGTGAGTTACGGTGCGTTGTTTGATAAACTTATATCAACGTTGTCATATATATTTATATATCCATATATCCTATACATTTAAATATATATCTTATATATTAAAATATATCTTATATTTTTAAATATGTATATATATAAATATACATATAAGATATCTCATACATTTCAATATATATTTATATGTTATTTTCCAATAATTCAATTAAAGAATGATTAGCGAAGATTTATATGAACGCAGCTTAAATAATTAAAGCAGTAATGCGTTCAAACACGATATCACAGCAAGCAAGCCGTCCATTGCGCCTTTTTAGGTAAGTATTGGGTAATCAAGGACCTATTTTGTTATTCTTGTCGTATCTAAACGACTTGGAAGCCTTATGCTCTACTTTCTCCCAGAGGATAATAGAAGAAGAGTATCTGGTGACACAACAGAATTAGGTGTGATGGAAAAAGAAAGGCATAACGAAGAGGATACTGATAAGGTAAGTTAGCTTTGTTTTACATATCTAAGATATATATATTATTGTACATGTTGTAGTTTCAGGCGTGTACAGCACGTCACGCGGTTACTGCTGTAACGGGTTAACATAAAATACAGTGATCAACGCACCATTGGAACAGTTTCAGCCGGTACCAATAGTAATCATAAATATGAGTTCAACTACTCTCTGGGTAATGGAAGCTACACTAAAACCACTTTTTGTTTTGTTGGTTAAAATTGAAAGTTGGAAATACAAGTAAAAATTCAGAGAAAGGAGAAGTGCTAACATTTTTATCTCATCATGATAATGGTACAGCACGCAATTGGCTGAAATTGGCTAAACATTTTTGATATATATTGCAATATCTAATAGTCTTGATATATTGCTGTCTAATTCAGATACCTGGAATACTCTTGTGTTGACGTATAGTTGAGGTGGGGAAAAACGTCAGTTTTGTAAAGTAGAAATACGTTTTTTTATTTTTTTTTATTAGATAAATTTGAAAAGGTGGTCGAGAGAACTACAAATATTTGTATTAAATAAATTGTCATTTATTTTGATTGTTCTTATTTATTAGCTAAATCTTGTATTTACTAATACTTTATTTACTTATTTGTACTTTAATTATTTATTAATACTTTATTTATTTTTTAATAATTTACTTATAAAATTTGTTAATACTTAATTTATTTATTAATACTTTATTTATTAAATTTTTTAAAACTATTTAATTATTAATACTTTATTAATTTATTAATATTTATTTATTTATTAGTGCAATATAGACAATAGAATAAAGAGGATGACGTAGATAAAGTTTGATTAATAATAATTTATGTTATATCGTGATCCTAATGATGACTCTCAAGGATAGTCGAAATATATTCAAGGATAGTCCTATAGCCGTATAAGAAAATATATAAAAACCATTATTTATACTTTCTTAAAACTGTATTTATTCATTAATATTTTAATTATTTTTTAATACTTATAAAATTTAATAATATTTTATTTATTTACTAATACTCTACTTATTAAATTTATTAATACTTTATTTATTTATTAATTGTTTGATTTATTAGTACTTTATTTATTTATTAATACTTTTTTTAATTTTTAATATTTTATTTACTTGTATTTTGTGTTTATCTGGTTCTTAATGATTGGATAGGTTGCTATTGTTGTGTATCGTTTAAATCGTTGATTTTGTATTGTGCATAATGTATCATGGTTTGTCCGATTTAATATAATAAATTTATCTAGTATCCTTTCTCTGTGGCATAATAATGCCTATCTACCTGTTTTAATCAATTCGTAGAAAAAATTTGTTTAGATTTACGATGAGACAAAAGTATTTAAAAACAATATTCTTAGGTATTTTATAAGAAATAGTTTTATACATATATATTAAAACTTATAAGTATAAATATGGTTAATATATGTTCTTGTATTTAAATATTTTTATATAAAATTGTTTTGTTCTTATGTAATTAAAATTATAATTAAATTAAATAATAATTAAAATCTTTTTGAATTAAAAAACATTAGATATTTTGCGCAGCCTGGTGTCTGGTGTTATGCTGCAGAAGTTAAGATACAACTTTTAAAATATAGGCGACAAGAATGATTTTTTATTTTTAGCTGATTAAATTAATATTCAAAAATGGCTTACGTTTATATGATACTATTTATAGTTAGGTGAAATATAAGCTGTTTCATTCAAAATTTTTATAGAATCTAATTTTTTGTTATCATTATAATCATCTTTTAATGATCATTATAAATCATTATAATCATTATAAATTTTTATTATTTATATATTTTTAATTTATTTTCGAAACTATTACTTTTTAATGGTTTTTTATATATTTTTATTTTGGTTGTAGGTCCCTTCTTGTTAAATAATAAAATTTTAATATTTTAATATTAAAATTTTATTTTATATTGTAATATTGAAGTTTTATTATTTAACAAGAAGGAACCTACAGCCAGAATAAAACTATGTATATAAAAAAATCATTTTAATAAACAGGTCGAAAAATAAATTTAAAAAATTTAATATTACTTTTTACTTATCGCATTTTTATTATTATTTTCGTGTAATAGTATTTGCATGTTTTCAATTTAAATAATTTTTTATCTTAGAAGTAGCGATAACTAACTTAAAAACAAATTAAATAAACTTGCTTTGAAATGAATGTAAGAAATGTTAGTTTAATCACTTCATTTTATTTACACATTTAATATTTTTTAACAACCTATATAGTATACGAACATATATATATAGTTACCGAAGTTAAATACAAACCCGTCAGCTTACAATAAAATTTCGCAGTTAGTTGGTGAAAGGAATTTATATGTCTTTATGTCGTTGAGGATCCAAATCCAAACAGATACAACAGAATCAAACAATAATAAAGAACCTGTAAAAAACATCTATGAGTTTAAGAGCGGAGGCCTAAGAAAAGAAGTGTTCGGAAACTTTTTCCAGTGCAGTTATATGGATCAAGAATTTAGAAATTCTAGGCTCCATGAAATCAAAAATTTAGAATCGTGCTTTCTTATTTTCTTATTGTTATTGTTAGTGGATGTGGCACTGCGACCGTCGGGTCTATTGTGCCCCCTTCTGGGATTAGAGTTAGTCTCTAAGCCCTGTTGCGTCAATAAAAGTAGTATATAACCTACTTTACAGAGTTTTATTGCCTCTTCCGTAAGAATATACATTCCCAAGAGACTATTCCATATGTGGATTAGCGCAGGGCATACTAACAGCACATGTGTGGTCGACTCTACATTTTCTTCACAGAGTTTGCATCCATATATATACTCAGTCTCGTAAAGTGTTATTTTAGTTTACAGTGCCCTGTTGGAATTTCTATGATGATTCTAAATTTTTCTTTTCATACAATCCTGGTATCTCTTACTGTTATAGGTACCAATAAGTGATTTGGATTGTGTTAATCCTGATATATTACCCCAGTAATCCTTTTTATTCTGGTTATCTTTTATTTTTATGAGAGCAGGAATGTACTATGTGCCAGTCCACAAAAAGGTTCAGGCCCCATCATCAGTATGGCTGCTCCTTTCATGTGTAGTTTGTGCGAGTATTTGTTGCCGCGTACGCCAGTATGTCCCGTACTTGCAGAAGTAAGTATTTTCCAAAAATACCTCATTTAGTTCAAACAAATTTAACACATTTTTTCACAATTTTACTAATACTAATACTAATTTATCTACACATAATT